TGTACTCTTCCAAAACCAAAATACAACAACTCTAAAGACTCCCAAAATGAAAATAAGGGAATTAAATACACTCTCTAATGGATTAAAGGATGCGAGTGTTACAGCAACCCCCTTCTTACCTAAGTATTTCAAAAGATTCAATAGGGATGTCATCGGGTCCTAAAGCCTTATTCGATTTCATCTTCTTAAGTGCAATATCCATTTCAAAATTCCTTATCAAGCTAATATTATGCAACTAGAAATGTAACTATATTGATAAAAAAATACGTAATGAGATCAGAAAAAAAATGCCATAGGACTTCTACCGTGTGTGGTATTTGAGATGTTTGAACTTTTGAGGGTTGCAAAATGTGGACTCCAATGGATGGTATAAAAGAACTTTGCGTAAAGCCTGAAGTTAGGCTGAAAACATCCTTACAGACCATAGGGAAGCACTCACAGGATCATGAATATGAATTTACACCCACTGACCATTTTCAAAACCATCCGTTTTTCCACTTTTGCCGACTATTATACGGCAAGACTGTATGGACTCCCAAAAATCATTTTTCCACTTTTGTTGAGTATTCTATGGCGGGATTGTGTGGACACCCAAAAATATTTTTTCCACATTCGTCCAACGATAAGCCTAGACAGGGCATTTGGACACTTTTAATTCAAAACCACCCCCACATTTGCCGGCTATTATACGGCAGAACGTGGGCTCCTAAAAACTTTTTTTAACTCCCCGTGCGGGTACCAACCACAACCCAACACAACTCAACTCCACACAACACAACTCAACCAAACTCAATACAACTCAACTCAACTCAATACCACACATCATAATCCAACTCAACTCAATATAATTTAACATAACTCAATACAATTCAACATAACTCACAACAAAATTCAACATAACCATTTCAACACTATCCAATGCAATTCGGTGTAATTCAATACAACTCTTAAACCTCCACATTATCATTCTATCACAAAGCTCATATCATCTATACCATTAGTAATTTTTTTCTCCCAAGTTTGGTTTCATATGATAACATAATTTAAAATATCGACATTAAGAGTTCAATCATAACTTTTACATAAATTTTTAAACTCTTTAAAATTTCAATTAAACTAGGACGTGTAATTTAACACCTCAATTTCATGATTCTACTATCAATTTAAGCAAAACCATCATCTATCTTCATGGACCAGACTAAGGTTTTTAAGAGAAATTAAAGCTTTTCACGAAACACATTTTATTTTAACTCTTCTATTGCTATTACACCCAAACTCATGATCCAAACTATAACCCAACAAGTAAACCCCAACTCTTCAAATCTTAACCCCCAATCTCATGATTAATCATAATATGCATAAAAATATGAACTTTGTATTTATATAAAGAAAATACTGCAAATCCATCTATGAATGAGAGTATTGAAGGAGAACTAGAAACCCCTACCTCTTGAAGCAAAGAGATGACGATCCAAAATTCACTGGCGACAAAACCACGAACTATTCGGACCAAAAGGAAGCCCTTGACGAGATCTACAATCTTTCTCAAAGGACCAAGGTGAAAATATCACTCTAGGTGAGTAGATCAAAAGATCTTGGGTGAAAAAGTTTGAGTTTAGAGAGAGAGAAGAGAACTCACGATTTGAGGGGAAAAAGAAGAGGAAAAATAATGAGAGAGAAGTGGTTTGGGTCTATTTATAGTAGTAGAAAATAGCCCTAAAGTCAATGAAAAGAATAAGTCAAAAATCTCCAAAAAAGTAGGGGCTAAACCAGCCTAAAAATCTGAAAATTACACACAGGTGTTGACCCTTCGGGCAGAGGTGTCGACCCTTTAGGAAGAAAAGTAATGTGTGCAATAGGCAAGGTGTCGACCCTTCCCAGACTGGTGTCGACCCTTCAGGCCAACAAAAAAAACAAGTGTCGACACCACCAAGACTGGTGTCGATCCTAGAACAAGATTTCCATGTTCCCAAACAATTTTTCAACGTAAACAAGCGTGAAGGAACAATCCTAACAAGATTAAATTGAATTGTACTCTTCCAAAACCAAAATACAACAACTCTAAAGACTCCCAAAATGAAAATAAGGGAATTAAATACACTCTCTAATGGATTAAAGGATGCGAGTGTTACAGCAACCCCCTTCTTACCTAAGTATTTTAAAAGATTCAATAGGGATGTCATCGGGTCCTAAAGCCTTATTCGATTTCATCTTCTTAAATGCAATATCCATTTCAAAATTCCTTATCAAGCTAATATTATGCAACTAGAAATGTAACTATATTGATAAAAAAATACGTAATGAGATCAGAAAAAAAATGCCATAGGACTTCTACCGTGTGTGGTATTTGAGATGTTTGAACTTTTGAGGGTTGCAAAATGTGGACTCCAATGGATGGTATAAAAGAACTTTGCGTAAAGCCTGAAGTTAGGCTGAAAACATCCTTACAGACCATAGGGAAGCACTCACAGGATCATGAATATGAATTTACACCCACTGACAACCTTTATTCTTTTATGAAAGGTATTATATGGGGGTGCTTTTTTGAGAATATGAAATGCAAGTTCATGAGATTAATTATTAACTATTGACTACTAAATAATCTTTCCTGTTTCATGCCCACTGATTTGATTGTATACTTGGTCAATGTTAATGTAATACGTTGTCTTTCATAGAAAATGTTGACTTACTCGATTTTTCTTAAATGAACTTATTTGATTTTTGTCATATCGTGAATTACGACTAAAATCTAAACTAACTTTTCTTATTGGCTGACTTTTAAGTTTCTTATATAATGGTACAGATGTGCAGAGGCTGAGCTGCGGGAAATGGAATGGGCCTTTTTTGGGAGGGAAGACAAATAAACAAATCTCTTAAATGTTTCTCTGAAGTAGAAGTCGCCTTTTTGGCTTTGGGTATGGTTGTGTCGGAGCACCTTGAAAAGTGAAGCAGACCAAACTTACAGCATTGGTTTTTTGATTACTAAATAATCTTTCCTGTTTCATGCCCACTGATTTGATTGTATACTTGGTCAATGTTAATGTAATACGTTGTCTTTCATAGAAAATGTTGACTTACTCGATTTTTCTCAAATGAACTTATTTGATTTTTGTCATATCGTGAATTACGACTAAAATCTAAACTAACTTTTCTTATTGGCTGACTTTTAAGTTTCTTATATAATGGTACAGATGTGCAGAGGCTGAGCTGTGGGAAATGGAATGGGCCTTTTTTGGGAGGGAAGACAAATAAACAAATCTCTTAAATGTTTCTCTGAAGTAGAAGTGGCCTTTTTGGCTTTGGGTATGGTTGTGTTGGAGCACCTTGAAAAGTGAAGCAGACCAAACTTACAGCATTGGTTTTTTGTCAAGTACTTTTCTTTTGTAGGTTACACTTGTTTTATTGTTGTTTGATTTGCAAGTAGATTTCATCTGATGCTAATTAGAACACAATGAATACGCTCTTTGGTTCTAGTTCTGTACGATGTTACCTTAAGCAAAAAAATTACTTTGACCCTGGATTTATTGGTTTTGTTATAGCTATGCAGGAGGTATTCTGAACAAGCTAAGAAAGCTTGGCTTGCTGCAATGGCTTATTTTAGTTGCCATAGTCTGTTGATGTTTGTTTAAAATATGGTGAAGTTTCTTGCAATGGCCATCTTGAACAAGAATTGTTGAGACCTTGATCGAGCTTTTGGGTTGTGGACATGGCTTACAAAAGTTTTGGGAATTGAAGTTTTTCCTCCTGATATAGTTGGAAGGACCTGAAAAGTAGAACAGTAAACTTTGGAGTTCAAAAATATGTTTATGGATAGGAAACAAAGGGGAATATGCATGCTAATTGACAATTTGACATGAACACTGTTTTAGGGGTGTTAATTTTTTTTTTGGTTAAACTATAAACCCGATCCGAACTGGTTCCAATCATATAGTTTGGTTATGCGTTTTTTGAGGAAACGGCTTGGTTCTAATTCAAAAAAATTTAGAATCATAAATTACGGTTTAATTTATGAATTAAAACTTAAAAGAATTGAAAAAATTGAACCAAGCCGTTACTTGCTTTTGTTAGTTATATACTAATGGAGTGTTTGGAAATTAGTTTTTTTAACGATTTTTTAATTTTTACGAAAAAATTTATTTTTAGTATAGGGTGTTTCACAAAATACTCTTCCCCTCATTGACTTGTTCTAAATCTCATTTTGACATCTTTTTCTATTTACTAAATACTTTGGGCCTTGTTTGGGGAGTTGATGCTTTAGTTTAAAAGTTAAAAAATTATTAAAAAAAATAAGAAGTCAACAAATTACACAAAAAAGTTAAAGATTTTATTTTCTCTCTATATTTTGTACTTTTTTTTTCATAAAAAGTCAACCCAACCTCCTCTCTTTGCATATATCATGCTGCTTTCTTTTGATGAATTCATTTACTGTCCATAATTCCCCTCGTTTTTCTCTGTATATTTGAGAAGAGTAGTAGGATCCTAGTTTTTTTTAATAACCGGGTAGTGTCTTTTAGGCCCACCCAAGAGCATAAACCCGTTGATCAAGAGTCGAATATGAGTTGGGCATGTGGGGAGCATACCCATTGACCAACTAGGCTACATGTTTAGCGGTTAGTAGGATCCTAGTTACAGAAGAATTGGTAACAGCTTGTCATAATCAATGGCCATGTGAGTTCTTCAGATGACCTTCTTCGTCGATTGGATTTAGATGATATAGCCAATTGCCTATTTGTTTACCTTGTGGAATTTCGATGAGATTTGAGCTTTTGAAATGGATTTATGCTGTGGCATTTTCTTCCCAGTGTTTTTTTGATTCAAAAAATGGTGGAGTTGTTGTATCAAATATGTTGTTGTGTGTTACGATTCACAATACACATCTTAAAATTTGATATTTTTTAGAGATAAATCAATATGTATCATCAGTATGTATCTTCAGTTAAATATATTTTACAATATATATACAATACACAATAATATGGAACTTATGAGGAATACATTTGTTACTGACAAATTGTCTCAAACATATATTATTTATTAATATTCATATTCAGATTCATTTATTTGTATGCAATACACTATGTTCCTTATACAATTGACAACTGCAATCACCTCTACTAATCAAGCATGCATTTAAGCATGGATGATGGGGTGCAGAACTATGTATCATACTAATTTGTATTCTATGATTGGAAAGAAAAGAATATATGTTTTATGTCTAAGCAAAGCATTTAGCTCTTTCTTGGAGTCCAAAAAGCATAATTAAGAAGCTTGAGCGGAGTTGGCACATATCGGAGGATTATGTGTGCCGGAAAGTTTTGGTTGGATGTTTGTACATAGGCTCGTAGCAGGGCCTTCTTTTCCAGTGTATGTCAGGTCAATATTACTTATCTCCACATTCGCGCATGGTGTGCTCTTGCTGCAGACAAGCTTCACTGCAAGCTGAGTCGAAGAACTACCCCTAATGTTCTTGAAGCTAACATTGCTAATCTTAACTTTTGATGGAACCTGAAGACAAGAAAAGATTAACAATTCAGTCAAACATAGTATTTCTTGATATTAATTTGCAGATAGAAAATAACCATGTGAACCGTGTTATTTATTTGGTAATTTGTACCTTTAGTTGGCATTGGTTATAAGGGCAGTACTCTTGATCGATAATGATAGGATTACCAACATTATTCATTGTAATGTCCTCAAAATGCATATCGGAGGCAATGCCAGGAGCAGGGGATGATGGCCATGTTTTCACTCTCACGCCATTCATCGTGTTGGATAAGGTGCAATTCTTAACATTGATGCCAACAACAGGATCTTCATTTGGGTACTTTCCAAGGCTTCCAATGCTGATGCCATGGCCAGGTCCACAAGTCACTCTCTCGACAGTTACCTGTTGGCTTCCATCTCCAATCGAGACACAATCATCTCCGGTCTGTATGCTTGTATCTAATATATTGATCCCGATTGAATCTCCAATGTGGATTCCATCCGTGTTAATGCTAGTTCCAGGCGCGGAGATGGTGAAGTGCTGGAAGGTGAAGTTCTTACACCCCAATACATTAACATGGAAGTTCTTGCTGTCCTTGGAAGTCACGTTCCGCACAATCGAATTGGTGATAAAGTTGAACCTCAGGTTCTATTTTCAATTCACAAACACATCAAGAAACTTATTTTTTCAGTTTGTATAGCATTTTTCTTCAATCGACATCAATATAAGAACAACATAATGGAACGAAGAAGTAGCAGATATATTTGGTTATTACCATGGGTATGGCCTTGCAATTGGGGTTCTTGCCACAATCATTTTGGGCCCAAGCGGCGGCGCCTTGGCCGTCGAAAGTTCCAGAACCGGATATTGTAAGATGATCAATGTGTTCGATGGTAAGCCAAGAATCGCCCTTGATTATGCCCAGTTGAGCAGGGGCATTCAATGTCCCGTCGAGTTGAATCTCCACAGGAGCCTTGCAAGGGCCTTCGATTTTCACTTCATTTAATGGAAATGTCCCTTTTGGAATTAGAACTTTACCAGCACTTGTTGCTGCACATGCTTCTTTCCAAGCACTCAATAGAGCCTTAAAAAAAAATTCAAAGAAAAAGAAAAAGCAAGAACTGTTTCAGCAAACTGTTTTTGTTTCTTGTTTTTTGTTTTTATTTTTCGGAAAATGCAAACTTGTTTGATGAGCTATTTTTCTAGGGAAAAAAAAAATTTAAAATCAATTTATTTTATAGGAAACACCAAAAAATGCTTTCTAATTTTTTAAAATTGTATTTTTATTTTTTCCCAAAAATGAAACGGATATGAAAATTATGAGTGTTTTCAAGCATTTCATTGCTATTGTTTTTGAAAACACAAAGAAACCAAACATGTTCATACCTGGGAGATGTCGCGGCCGGGGTTGGCTCCATATTTTGTCACATCAAAAATGGCAGCTTGGGTTTCTATAGCTTGAGCTAACAACAACAACAACACAGAAATTGCTGACATACTCAATTTCATAACCATCTTTTCCTTTTCTTTGATCTTTCTTTGTTTTGAAAGAACTGTGCAATTTGATCTTTGTTTGAAGCTTTATATATACACACACAAACATAAGGGAGAACTTGAGACCACAAAACTTCTAAACCAATTTTACATTAATTTTTTTTTGAGGTTGTAATGTTTCAATTCAACTTTCTATAATAAGAATGCATTTTTACACCAATGATGTCTAGTAATATAATGTCCCCTCATATATTAATAACAACTAGAGCAATAATCAACTACCAAGTGTCATCGGATAGTATTGGGAGCAAAATTTAATGGTCAGAACTCATGTAGTTCACTAAAGATGCATCTCCCTTCAATTTACCAAAAGAAGTTTTGTGGGAAACAAATTTTCAATCTCAACCCCTTATTTTTGTAGTCAGGGTGCTATAGAGGTTATTATTTATTCCTTAGATAGGAAAGCTGAAAATAAATTTAAATTGAAATTGTATTTGGATTTTAAATTTATGTAACAATTTATAAAGAGAGAGAAAAGGAAAAACAATTTGTGAATGAAATAGAATGTAATTTTCTTTCACAAATCTCCATAAATCTTTTCACACATCTAATATTCAAACTGTGATATCCCTGTCCCGTAATATGTTAATTGGTCCTTAACATGAATGTGATTATGTGTTTAACATAATTTTGTGTGCCATTATGTGAAAATATGTGATTTTGAATTTTTATCTGTTCACCGTAGGAATATCTGTTTGATTATCTGCTTTGGAAATTAAATTGAAGGCCTTAACGGCCACCGAAACCAAAATTGATTGCGCCATTGTGAATGGCATAATTTTTAGAGCCTACGGTGAAGTTTAATTGGAAATTGATTCAGATCAAATTAAATTGATTTAATTAGTGAATCAGTGCTCTATTATTTGATATTATAATAATATCACAAGAGGGGCTTTTATATGAGCACTATACACACACTCAATTCCTTTTCTTGCTCATTTGAGCCGAATTGCTCTAACGAGAAGGAGAGGGTCGGCTAGAGAGAGAGAGGGAGAAAGAAATTGGGGTTTTGGTCTCAAAGCTTGATGATCTCAAAGATTATTCAAGAATTTGCTAGTGACTGGAATAAATTGAGCCTATAGGTAAGCAATTGACTCTTGAATTCATGAGTGTAATGTGTAATCTTGTGTGTTTAAAGTTGATTAATGGTTAAGAACAAGAATTGAAATGAAATTGAGTTGACCATGTTGAATTGAGGGTCCATATTAGCATGCATGTATATAGTTGCTTTGAATTTGCATATTTGAACACCAAATGCATGATCTATGTGAGTTTTTAGTTGAAGATCATGTTCTTGACCACCTCTTCATCATATAAGTTGAGAATGAGAAGAATATACCACATGCATGTGCAAATTATAAGGGTGTAAGTGTTGAATGCATGAAATTGTTATATTGGTAGTGAGTTTGGTGGAAAATGAGCCATTCATGTGTTTGATTCATGAAATTGAGCTCCACGATGATGTGTTTTAGTGTTTATACCATGTTAGTACAAGAATATATGAGGTTGGAGCCATAAAATGCGAGAAATGTTGGTTTGAATGTTGAGAGGGAGCTCAAAAACACATTCTGGGTTTTCCAGAACTTTGAGATCCGCTCGAGCGGGAGAACCTACGCTTGAGCGTAAATTACATGCTCCCAGTACTTTTTGCAGACTTAATGTCCGCTCGAGCGGGGTATTTCACGCTCGAGCGTGGAGCTTTGTAGACAGGCCTTTCGCTCAAGTGCCCTATTTCACGCTTGAGCTTATTTTTCATGCAACCAGTACTTTTGTAGGCCTTAAGGGTCTGCTCGAGCGGGGTATTCCACGCTTGAGCGGGGACCCTGTTTTCTGAAATTTTGTTTTCGCATTCTGTGTTTCGTTTTCCGTTCTCTTGCACTTGCAAGTACTCTTAGGCATGTGTTAAACATTGTAAATGAGTTAAAGAGATAAGAATAAAGCCTAAAGAGGAAAATGTGAATTTAGAACGGATTGAATTGATAGTGACCCTTTTGTGTTCATGGAATGTGTAGGGTCAAGCTCCCGGGCAAATCCACAAGCCGATCACTGTGAGTAATATCTGAAATATGTTATTGTCCAATTGCTTACTTCTACGTAAGTTTTGTAAAGTTCATTAATGTTGAATGGTGGACAAAGTTTGATATGACAAGTCTGAAAGGCTTAAATGCCAGTTTGAAATGAAAGTCTGAAAGGCTTAAATGCCAGTTTGATATGACAAGTCTGAAAGGCTTAAATGCCAGTTTGAAATGGAAGTCAGAAAGGCTTAAATGCCAGTTTGATATGACAAGTTTGAAAGGCTTAAATGCCAGTTTGATATGACGAGTTTGAAAGGCATAAATGCCAGTTTGATATGACAAGTTTGGAAGGGCCGAAAGGCCAGTCTGATATGAAAGTTTGATAAGGCCAAAGGCCAGTTTGACATGAATGAATTAGGCCCAAGGCCGTCTGATGTATAATGTTCCAATGTAGTTTCTTTATTTGATATCATTCACTGGGCTTTCGCTCATGCTCATTCATGTGTTTGTAGGTGAGCCAAGAGAGGTCCAGACTCAGCCCCAGTGAAGTCTGTAGGGAACAACTGAGTTTTGGAAAGTCAGCCTATGTGTCTCACGCATGAGACTCACTTTCGCCTTTTGCCATTTTGTTCTAAGTTATTATGTTGGCAATTTATTTGAATATGACTGTATATAGTTTTCATGGGTTGACTTAGTTTTGGATGATCCTGTCTGTACAGAACTTTATGGTACTGTGTATTATTGTGAGTTATTAATGTATATGTGTATGGTTTGTTTTAATGTTCCATGTAAGCACAGCTCTAAGGACAAAGTTTTAAATTGCTTCCGTTTGGCCCCCATTAACTCTGTTAAAATACGTTGTTTTGGTTTGAGGCCGTAGGTAATCTTATGATTACTGGCCGGTTATGTCCTTAACCCACGGGGGTGGGTTCGGGTCATGACAGAGTCGTATCAGAGCACGAGTTAATAACTCACACACTTGTCCAAATGAGCAATAAGCGTCTAGAAAAGATTTAGGATGCATTCATGTGATAAGTCTGAATTTGAAAGCATTAAATATATGTTTAAATGTTTTGATATGAACAACTATGTGTTATAAATTTATGATTTGCTTGCATTGCAAATTATTTGAATATGTATGCTCCCTGTTAGATGCATGCTTGTATATCTTTCGTATAAAGCATAATGCAAGTTTAATCAGATGGTGAGAACAAGAGGTGCTGAGATAGAGGAATCTTCTTCTGCTAGACTGGACAGAACGGAAAGACTGATACAGGAAATGGCAGAAACTTTGAGACAGTAACAGGAGTGGCAACAACAGTGGCAGCAACCATATCCGCCACCTCCACCTCCGGTACCACCCGTGCCAGATAATCAGAATGATGACCGAATCATAGCTCTCACTAAAGAGTTCAAGAAAATGAAACCACCACAGTTCCATGGTGGATTAGATCCTTTGAAAGCTGAAGCTTGGGTCCTCGGCATCGAAAAACTATTTGAAGTGTTCCCATGTTCGGATACACAGAAAGTGCTTCTAGCCACCTTTATGCTAGAAGACGAAGCAAGAAGATGGTGGATGTTAATGCGTGAGAATTACAAAGATGCTAATTAGGCAAAATTTTTGAAAATCTTCTATGATAAATACTTTCCGCAATGTGTTCGGGATAGGAAAGTAGCAGAGTTCATGGAACTTAAGCAAGACAAGACAGTATCACTGTAGCTGAGTATGAGGGCAAATTCATTGAATTGGCTAGGCTTGCACCGCATGTGATTGATCAGACTATAAGAAGGCGAGGCATTTTGAAGGTGGGCTTCGAAGTGACATCCTTGAAAGAGTGAATGTCTTAAAGCTAGAAACCTACATTGGAGTGCTAGACAGGGCCATCATATCAGAGGCTAACATAGCTAGACAAGCCAAGCCAACAACAAAATAGAAAGGTAACAAAAGACAAGGCTTCTTTTCAAAGAAGAAGTTTCTGAAAAAGCAAAACACGGGCTCCTCAAATACATCGAATTCTTCCCAAGACATATCTCCCATGTGCAACATTTGCAGCAAAAGGCACCGTGGAGTTTGTTACCATGTGTCAGGGGCCTGCTTCAAGTGTGGTAAACAATGGCACATGGCCCGAGATTGTAATCAAAATGGAGAAAAGAAGGCTGCTAGTTCCACTGTATCGATCCCAAAGCCAAGAAACACTTTAAGATCCGCTGCCACCGGGGATACCGTGAGACAGGGGAGAGTTTTTGCGCTTGTTCTGGGCGATACACGGAATGCCAATGCAGTTGTCTCAGGTACTATTTCTATATGTAATCAGGATGCTTTTGTGTTAATTGACTCCGGATCCACACACTCATTTGTGACATGTGCATTTACATCTAGACTGAATAGACCCTTAGAACCATTTTCATATCTGCTATGTGTGTCTGCTCCATCTGGGGAATCTGTATTGTGTGAATCTATATACCGATTTTGTGAAATGCGTGTTGAGGATGCTATCCTATATGTAGATTTGTTGCCCTTGAACTTTAGGCATTTTGATGTAATTTTGGGCATGGATTGGTTGACTAAGTATTGTGCTACCATCGATTGTGTGACAAAACGAGTTGTATTTAAACCACCAGAACATAAAGAGATTGTGTTTGTGGGTAATGGGGTAGTGCCTCCACCTTATTTGATATCTGCAATGAAAGCATGTAAACTGATCAGGAAGGGGTGCTAGGGTTATTTGTGCTATGTGTTGTCTGAATAATCTGTGAATGTTGAATTGAATGATATTCCTGTTGTTAGAGAATTTCTGGATGTTTTTCCAAATGAATTACCAGGGGAATTGGTAAACAGGGAGATAGAGTTTACTATTTAAACTGTGCCAGGCACCCAGCCCATTTCTAAAACTCCCTACAAGATGGTTACCGCCGAAATGAAAGAATTGAAAGAACAGTTGCAAGACCTGCTTGACAAGGGGTTTATCCGACCTAGCATTTCACCTTGGAGTG